TATATATCCATACTGTACACCTTCCTGGAAAACACACATTATTTCCCTTTATATTAATTAGAATCCATAACCTTCATAACCTTAATTTTTACTGACAACTAAAAGCAAGCAATTAGCATTTCCACTAGCAAATCCAGGAACATATTTTGTAACCTTCAAAAGCATAAGCTTTTGTAATAAAATACAAGCTACATTTATTTCCCAAGCTATTGTATTTTCTTGACAAATTCTGTAACAGATATAACATACATTTATTTTTGCAAACTTAGGTAAAACAAGAGATACCATATTTGATGTTAATAACCTCATTAAAAGTTAAACCAGCCTTAGTATCAAATCAAAGAGGCTGGAATGAGTTGGGGAGTCTGGCTAGGGAATTAGCCGCTTGGTTTTAAAAGTCTCTGTCTCTCTCTGTCTCTGTCTCTGTCTCTCTCTCTCTGTCTCTCTCTCTCTCTCTCTCTCTCTCTCTGTCTCTCTCTCTCTCTTTCTCTTTAATTACCTCAGGCTCAGGCGGCAGCTGCAGCCATTTGTTTACATTTCCAAGATCTTGAAAGTTACTGAGAGTTAGAAAAAACTTACTTTGTCAAGTTCCTGAATATAGAGTTTGTGTACAAAACAATTTTAACTTCAAAAATAGTGTAACAATTTAAAGACCCATAGAGAGGCTACCTTTCCTTAGAATTTAGAACGTGTGCGGGACAAGCAGTGTTACAATAAAATATCATTGGCTTATAATTATAAGTTGACCAATTTGCTAATATACAACCTACGGGGCTCTCAGAAGGTTTGGATACAGAGCTCCACATCAGCTTGGTGTCTAAGCTGCAAATAGAAAAGAAAAAGAAAAAGGGTAAAGACAGGCTAGAGGCAAATAAAACCAGTAAGTCACAAATAAACCAGAGTACTCACAGAACCAAATGAGAAGCTGGGGCTCAAGACCCAGTCTTTGACCAGCCCGGCACCCCAGATTGGCCTCAGACAGAGAGGTCCACGTTGGTCTCAGAGAGGCCCCAGACTGGCACGAAGCCCAGACAGTGTACAAGCCCAGAACAGGTGCCAGTGATTAGCCTAGGAGAGGCTCCGACAGCAGAGACAGGGGGTACCATTTCCCACCTTGCAGAATAGAGGGGCTATGGCCTATGAGGATTTCTAAGAACTTCCCCCGTCTGGCCATTTCCCCAGTGGAATTATAATCCCAGTTGGGGTTGGTAGAATGTATTGTTTCTGACCCAGGGGAGTTTCCTTGAGGATTTCTTGCAAAGGTTTCATCTGCCTTGTCACGGCCTGCGTGGCAAGGGCTAATGGGATACAAGATGGGCGACGCAGCTTGAATAAAGAGACAGAGACAGAAGTAAGATTGAAGAGCAAGACCAAGGGACTCAGCCTAAGAAAGACTGAGCCCCGAATTGGGTCAATGCAAGGCTTTTATTGAGAATCTTCAAAGAAGCAAACTGCAGAACTGTGAATCATTAACCGTGTATACGTGGGTGCCTTAAGGCTTGTTCCCATTACCAGACCCCTTTGTACTCCAACAAATGCTATGCCTTCGTACATCACTGCACAGCCCCAGGACACTCTGTTACATGTCCTCCCAGGGGAGACAACTGATATCATTCCATCAGGTCTCAGTTTTCTGAGACGCCCCCCGAGAGAGCTTTACAGATATCATTCCATCCGGNTATTGGGGAATTGGGGGAAGGGGAACAGACAAGTTGCTGTCCTTTTGTTCTTCAGTCTAGTTGTGGAGGACGTTGCTTCACTGGCCCAAGTTGGCACCACCATTGCGCTCTTCCCAGGCGGGGCAGATCAATTGCTGGCTTCTGGACTGCTCACAGGGCTGCTGGCCACTCAGCTGGCAGCTTGCTACACTTGGTAGCCCATGGCAACCCACTGCAGCAGGGGCTGCAGCCTACGCTGTTGCTGGCGACTCACTGCAGCCCAGCTCCAGGTTGAGCCTGTTGTTCAGCATCTTAGCTGTAGAGGGCAGTGTCACTGGCCCTCATATGTGGGATCCGAATCGGGTCCCTCTGGCGTCTCAAGCCAGCTCTTAACCACCGTGCCACTCAGCCGGCCTCTCACCCTACCTGATCTTAGATGAGAGGAAGGGGTCTCGAGATTCATCTGGAAGTCCATGTCGACCTCTTTGGTTGGGATGTGTGATGGCCCCTAGATGAGGAAAGATAGATTTTAGTTGCTACATTAAAAGTGCTGGCCCAAGGAGCAGGACTCAATGCTACTGATGAAGGGTCAAAGTCCATTTAGCTTTGTGAGGCCTGTGGCTTTTTCATCTCGTTTTAATTTACTAGTTACCCAAATGGTGTTGTTTACCCAGGAGTTGGGCCTGGACGGCCTGGAAAGAATGCTGGACCACAATAATTACAATCGACAAGCTTCTGGGTAATTATTTGAAGCAGGGGGTGAGAGATACTTCACGATCTAGGCTAAGAGTAATCCCCAGTTTAAGAGTAAGAAACTGATTTAAAAAGTGATTAAGACCAGAGACTAAGAAACTAAGAAACTAGGGAAAAGGAGACTTAAAATTTCTATAGTAAGGGGCTCTCCTGTGTCATTTCCCTCATGTCAGTAGTGGGTCTCATGTCTATTGGGGAGTTACGGAATTTTTTGTCCTATTTGGTCCAGATGTGAGGGCTGGATTTTGGATTAGTTTTGATAACCGTCCCAGGCTCGTTGGTTGGAATTGGCTTAAAACCCTGCTGAAATACCATTTGGAACTTTGCTAGGCATGAAGAAATAAATTTTGTCAGAAGGTTTGAAATACAGGGTTCAAAGATAAGGGTTAAAATAATCATCAGTAATGGTCCCTCAAGGGGGAGAAGCCAGGATGCCCAGCCCCAGATCTTTCATGAAGATCCCCAAGATTCACTTAATTGTAAGCGGATCGTGGAGGCTCTATCTGTTAACTTTTTTTTTTTTAAGATTTTTATTGGGGAATTTGGGGGATGAGAAAAGTGCTGGGGAATTGGGGGAAGGGGAACAGACAAGTTGCTGTCGTTTTGTTCTTCAATCTAGTTGTGGAGGNTTAGCTGAGCCATCCTGCCACCTGTTGGCAGCTCAGCGGCTGCTCAGCTCGGGCCGGGACTTGAACCGCTGTTGCTCAGAGCTCAAACTCTTGAGCGAACTCTTAACCAACTGAGCCACTCAGCTGGCCCTGAATGATATTATAATGATGGTATAATGAGGCTAAGGTGAGGATGAAGGTTGTTGTAGCATTTTACTGTGCAGGTGTGAGTGACTGGTCTAGTCTAGTAGGGTAGTTTGTGTCTTCTAGTGTCTTCATAGTGGTTAGTGGTTATGGTAGATAAGGGAAAAATTTGGGCATAGAGGGGAGGTTTTGGGGAGGTCTCTGGGTGGTTGCTCTCCGAGACCCTGTCGAACATGCAGAAATGTTTGGAGACCCCAGTCCTACCTCTAACTGCCTGCCTCATTTCCCCCTGAGAGCCATGATCCCCATAAATCTCTATGGGAAGTTGAGGGACAGGTGGGATTTTCTTCTGTATCTACTTCCTGCTGTATGTGGTCATTGTCCCTGCCTATCGGCGATTCATGGAACTCACCCTATCTGATCTTAGATGAGGGGAAGGGGTCTCAAGATCAGCCTGGAAGACCATGTTGACCTCTTTGGGCAGGATGTACGATAGCCCCTAGATGAGGAGAGATATACTTTATTGATAGATTAAAAGTGCTGGCCCAAGGAGCAGGACTCAATGCTACTGATGCAGGGTGAAATCCATTTAGCTTCATAAGAACTGTGGCTTTTTCCTCTGGTTTTAACTAGTTACTCAGATGGTGTTTTTTACCACAAATGGGCCCAGAATGGCCTGGAAAGAATTCTGGGCCACAGTAATTACAATCAACAAGCTTCTTGGTAATTATATGAAACGGGGTGAGAGACACTTCACGATCTAGGCTAGGAGCAATCCCCAGTTTAAGATTTAAAAACTGATTTAAAAAGTGGTTAAGGGCTGGCCGAGTGGCGCATTGGTTAAGAGCTGGCTTGGGAGCACGAGCTCTGAGCAGCAGGACCTCTGGTTCGGATCCCACATGAGGGCCAGTGACACTGCCCTCTACAGCTAAGATGGTGAACAACAGCTCGACCTGGAGCTGGGCTGCCATGAGTCGCCGGCGACGGCGTAGGCTGCAGCCCCTGCTGCACTGAGCTTCCATGAGCTACCATGTGTGTGCCCAGCAGCCAGCGTGAGTGGCCAGCTGCCAGTGTGAGCTGCCAAGAGCTGCCGTGAGCGGCCGTCCAGAGGCCGGCGACCAATCTGCCTCACCCGGGAAGAGCACAATGATAATACCAACATGGGCCAGTGAAGCAACGTCCTCCACAACTAGACTGAAGAACAAAAAAGGACAGCAACTTGTCTGTTCCCCTTCCCCCATTCCCCAGTGCTGTTCCCCTCCCCCAACTTCCCAATAAAATCTTTAAAAAAACCCCAAAAAACGTGATTGAGACCAGGGAGTAGGGAGCTAAGAAACTAGGGAAAAGGAGACTTAAAATTCCTATAGTGAAGGACTCTCCCTACTCCACACCTAACTCCTAGTCCTCCTGGAATCAAGATCTGTTATCAGTTCTGGGTCCCTAGCCTCTCACGTTCTTCTTGACTTGTCGTTTGTTGTCGCCTCTGTGGTTGACTGTCCCTTACACGCAAGTACACTTAAGAAAGGAGATGGTAGAACACAGTCCAACTTCAGTAGGCCTTACAGGCAAGGAGAATGAGATTGCAAGATAGGGGGACAAGGTTATGGACCCTGGACCATTGCTATCTTGGAATCCACCAATTTTCATCGTCTTCCATCCCTCCCTGCCTCCCCAAATTCCAAGCCTCTAATTCCTCCTCCCTCAGACCCAGAGTCCAAACCCTCAGGTTCTCTCATTCCATCAGTCCTCTCCTCCCTGGACTCCTGGATCTGAGGGAGAAGGGGCTGGGGTCTCTCCAGCTCTGAGCTTCTGCTAATTCACCTTTTCTTCCCTGCAGCCATGGGGGCCCTCAGCCGACATCACTTCTGTCTGATCTTCCTGCTAGTCTGTGTTCTTTCATCAGTCATCTTTCTCCACATCACCCAAGACATCTTTCACAATGGCCTGGACCTACCTAACCTATTTGCAGACCGACACTTGGTGACGAATTCTGTGACCATCTTCTGCCTGTCAGGCACATCGATGATCCCCAACACCTCCTCTTCCTGCCCCACGCACCCCTCTTCCCTCTCAGGCACCTGGACCATCATCCCATCTGGCCGCTTTGGTAATCAGATGGGGCAGTATGCCACTCTGCTTGCCCTGGCTCAGCTCAATGGCCGCCAGGCCTTCATCCTGCCGTCCATGCATGCTGTCTTGGCCCCTGTGTTCCGCATCACCCTGCCTGTGCTGGCGCCGGATGTGGAGAGCCACACACCTTGGCGGACATTGCAGCTTCATGACTGGATGTCAGAGGAGTATACCCACTTGAATGACCCTTTCCTGAAGCTCACTGGCTACCCCTGCTCCTGGACCTTCTTCCACCATCTCCGGGAACAGATCCGGAGAGAGTTCACCCTGCATGACCACCTTCGGGAAAAGACCCAAGGTTTCCTGAGACAGCTCCGCCTGGCTGGTACTGGGAACCTCCCGCGCACTTTCGTTGGTGTCCATGTGCGCCGTGGGGACTACTTGCACGTTATGCCCAATCACTGGAAGGGTGTGGTGGGCGATCGTGTCTATCTTCAGCAGGCCATGGACTGGTTCCGGGCACGACATGAAGCCCCCATCTTTGTGGTCACAAGCAACGGCATGCAGTGGTGCCGGGAAAACATCAACACCTCCCAGGGGGATGTGATCTTTGCTGGTGATGGGCAGGAGGGCTCACCCGCGAGGGACTTTGCATTGCTCACACAGTGCAACCACACCATTATGACCATTGGCACTTTTGGCTTCTGGGCTGCCTACCTGGCTGGTGGAGACACTGTCTACCTGGCCAACTTCACCCTGCCTGACTCCAGCTTCCTCAAGATCTTTAGGCCCGAGGCTGCCTTCCTGCCTGAGTGGGTGGGCATTAATGCAGACTTGTCTCCACTCCGGAATTTGCAGAGGAGTCTTCTGGAATAGCCGGATCAAACTTGGGCCAGCATTGTGACAGTGGTGAGGTGTTGAGCTTCTGGTTTTATCTTCTTTCGATTTTTCACCAAAGTTATCTGGAATTTCAGAGCCCTCTCCCTTCTGCAAGGGCCCAGCAGTTTCTTCACAGGTATTAGAACTGGCTCCCTCTAGAGCAGGGGTCGGCAAACTTTTGAGACAGAAGAACCGCCATGGGTCAGCAAACTGCGGCTAGCAAGCCTCAGGCTCTGAAGTAAAATTAAAAACGAAAATAAAACTATCATATTTTCTTTTATAAAAATTTTAAAGGCTGTTATTCACATAATGGTGATTATGTAAAAATATATTTATGGCTCTCGAATAATTTTTAAATTGTTGTGAAGGACAGGATTGTCTCTTCCAGAGGTCAGCAAACTTTTGAGATGAAACATACCCAAAGACCTGCATGTGGCTTGCGAGCCACAGTTTGCCGACCTCTGCTCTAGAGCAAATCCCCATCTAGAACTACTCCAAAAACACAAAAGGGGAGTTGGTGAGTGCTTGCTAGGCTTCCAGAAGCTGCTAGGCTTCTAGAGAAGCTTGTGGTGGTCCGGCAGCAGATGGGCACCCATTTCTAGAGTGAATCTGATTGGCTTTGAGAGAAACAGAGCTTCCTGCAACTGCCTGAACATTCTAGAACCAGCAGAAGACGTTTCCCTGATTACTGGCAATGTCTCGGGAGGATCATGACAGTTCTACAAGGCATAGTGCCCACCTGCAGTTTCCAGCCGATATCCAGAGTACTTCTAGATGGCTGCGCATCCAGGAACCAGTAACTCCCCCCTCTAGTGTTGATCATTCTGGTCTTTTCTAGAAGAGATGTTTCTCCTTTCCTCAGTCCTCAGGACTGAAGCAACTCATGGATGTTCTAGAGCAAACACTCACCAACTCCCCCTCTGTGTTTCTGGAGTAGTTCTAGATGGGGATTTGCTCTGGAGGGGCCAGTTCTAATATCTGTGAAGAACCCTGCAGGGCCCTTGCAGAGAGGAGGGGGTTCTGGAATTCCAGATAACTTTGGTGAAAAGTTGAATGAAGGTACAACCAGAAGTTCAACACCTCACCACTGCCAGAAAGATTGATGGAAGACAAACTATGTATAGCTGGGACAATTTATGAGAAGACTGGAATTCTATCCACATTCTCAACCCCCCAAAAAAACCCCAGAAAGACTTTGGGCTGCTGGGGTTGATGGGATGGATTTTTCTGGAAGTCAGTTGACATAAACATGGCCTTTGGGCTTGCAGAAAACCACCAGTATTGCGCCCCTTGCCAACCATGTTCTGTCTGCCCTGAATTCACAGAACCACTAAATCTGGGTTTGGGCAAATGAGGGATGGAAAGGTCCGAAGGTGCGCAGACCCCAGATTGGCCTTAAAGCCAAGCAGGAGCACTCTTGGCCAGGGTCTGGCCAAGGAGGATGGGATTCTTGACTCAGATTTCAGGAGCCCCTTGAAGGAGGTGAAGGTAGATCTTTTATTACTGAATTGTCTAAGAATCTAAACCTCTTTTTTAGTCTTCTCAGGGAATTTTGGGAGACTTTTCCTACTCAGCTGCCATAGGGAGAGAGGGAGGTATGGATTAAAAGTCCACATCACCAACCCCTGTTACTGTAGGGGGTTTTTTCCCTTTTCCTTTTTTTTTTTTTTTGAGTCTTGTGTGCATGAGTGCGTGTGTAAGGGGAAAAGTTTGGAATTTCTGGGGACTGTCATGACTCAAGTCTTAAGGCATTGTCCCTGCTCAGATGTGGCAGGCTTTGTGTAGAGCGCCCCTGGCAGAATGAGTTTTGTGTGAGCAAGAGTGACTCCGTATTGAATGAGAAAGAGTAACTCTATTCTGGACATGCGCAAAGAACTTAGCAGACAACAGGCAGCTAGCTGCCCAGCTGCCCTGGTAATTGGGTGTAACCAGTTATACCTGGAAGGTTTGCTACTGAAGATAAGGTGACATCAGGAAGGCACTCAGAACCACAGAACTGAGGACTTTTGCAGCTCAGAGAGCGGATCCCAACTGAGGTGACCATGCTGCTCCTGTGCTCCAAAAACCTGCTTTCTCCACAGACTCAGAATGAACCTCTGCCGGACCGACCTCCTGGACCAGCCACCCTTCCTCGCTCCACCAGGACTCTGATTGACTTTGGGTCTGGTTTGTTACTGTTTTACCGAATTATTGTACTACCCTGTGTGCTTTATTGTCTGGTGTGTTGATGATTGATGCTTTACTGTTTGGTGTATTGTTGATTGATGTAAGCTTGTTGAAAGTCGTTTAAGACCTTGCGTGCTCTGTTCTTTGCTCATGCCATGGCTACCATGGAGGTCTCAGTCAGTGCCAGGTAGACCTTGGGTGTCTGAGAGTCTCTTGGGGGTTAGTCCCCCTGACTTGAAGGAAGAGACTGCTGCATTCCTGCATGGACTGTGAGCCTAGCAGTCTCTCAGTGACACTCTTGTGGGGCTTGTGATCTCTGAGCTCCAGTTCCTTTCACCGGACTCTCAGTATTGGCCCCCAGACCTGTCTTTTCTTTGGAACCTTGGCATGCAGCCCCAGAGGCTGGGAGAGGAGGAAGAAGTGAGCCCAGAGTATAACTTTTTTTTTAAAGATTTTTATTGGGAAATTGCGAGGATGGGAACAGTGCTGGGGAATTGGGGGGAAGGGGAACGGACAAGTTGCTGTCCTTTTGTTCTTCAGTCTAGTTGTGGAGGACGTCGCTTCACTGGCCCAAGTTGGCACCATCATTGCACTCTTCCCGGGCGAGGTGAGGCAGATCAGTAGCCATTTTCTGGACGGTCACTTACAGTGGCTGCTGGCTGTACATGGTAGCCCATGGCAACCCACTGCAGCAGGGGCTGCAGCCTACTCCATCGCTGGTGACTCACGGCAGCCCAGCTGGAGGTCTAGCTGTTGTTCAGCATCTTAGCTGTAGAGGAATGTGTCATTGGCCCTCATATGTGGGATCCGAACTGGGGCCCTCTGGCATCCCAAGCCAGCTCTTAACCATCACGCCACTCAGGCCGGCCCCTTTTTTTTTTCTTTCTTTCTTTTTTTTATTAGGGAACAGTGTGTTTTTCCAGGACCCATCAGCTCCAAGTAGTTGTTTCAATCTAGTTGTGGAAGGCGCATCTCAGTGGCCCATGTAGGGATCCAGTCAGCAACCTTGGTGTTATGAGCACATATGAGCACTGCGCTCTAACCAACTGAGCTAACAGGCTGCCCCAGCATATAACTCTTGAACTACACTTCCCATAAAGCTATGGGGTTAATTACAGTAATCAGTTAGGGAGAGACCCTGGGGCCTTCTGGGAGTCGTAGTCCTAGGGCTGGGGAGGGCCATTTCTCACGTCTTGGTGTTTCCTCCGCTGACTGTCCAAACAGCCGTGGGCATCTAGCCGGAAGCCTGGGTCCTGGAGCCCAGGGAGGGGAGGGCTGAGGGTAGGATTTCGTTCCTCGTTTCTGGAAAGCCAGAGCAGATGCTGGAAACTTCGGGTCTGAAAAGGCGGCCGCCTCTGTGACATCAAGGAGCGATGGGCGGGGCCTCCCTTTGTTGCGGTCCAATCAGACACAGAATTGGGCCCCTGGGCGGAGCCAGGGAAGCCCCCAGGGACTAACTTTTGAGAATTAGGGGTTCCATGTGGGAAGCTATATGGTGGAGGCTGTGGGACTTGCTTGTAAATAGGGGTGAGCCGTGACTCTGACCGCAGTCAAATGTTCTCTATTACAAACCTTACCCCCAACAAAACCCTTAATTTTAGTAGTGGGAAAATATTAGTGTGGAAGGACGTGGCCTGGTCCTCCTCTCTCAAAGCCCTCAGAAGCTGGACTCTGCTCTTCAGCGAACCCTAGTGTTTGAGGATACATCACTCTAGAGTCACGGTCCGGCAGCGGCTGTCAAGGGTGCATCGGGCTTCCTCAGTTTCCTAACGAAAAGTGTGCGCCCTGCAGATTTGGGATCCATTAGTCTCTGGAAGGGGATCTCTCTGTTTAGCCCTCACCTCCTTTCAGTTGGGGTGAGAGGACTCGCCCAAGGGTTCTGCGCGGACTCAGCGCTCTGGCCGCAATGGGGCCGCGGCTTCCCCTCCTGGTGGCGGCGCTGGCCAGCTGCCTGCTTCCTGCCCGGTGTTGTGTCCTGTGTGATACAAAAGTCGTGGAAGCGCTAAACTCCTTGGAGACGGATTACCTGCCTGACCACGTGGGGGCAGAGCATCACAAAAACTTGATGAAAAGGGTAAAGCAGGCCGTGCAGGATTTCAAGGAACTGCCGTTTGACGAGGATTCCTATATGGGGGTCGTCGGTGAGGGCAAGGTGGAGCCCGGACTCCTGGGTCCTGGGAAAAGAGGGTTCTGGGGCTAGGATTTCTGGGTGCAGGGGGGAAAGGCTGGATGGAGGCAGACTCTCCTGTGTTCGGGAATGAAACAGGCTGTGGTACAGATTTTGGGGTTCCCCGAGGCTAGGAAATACTGTGTTCCCCTAGCCTTTAGCCTGCAGTTTTAATAAAACTACTACTCCCAGAAAGGAACAGGCGGGTAATCCCTTAACCAGACATGTCTGTACCCGTGGGTATTGTAGTTTCTAAGACTAGATGAGGCAATGAGACAATAATACTGGAACCTGGGGTTCTATCTCTCCCACAGATGAGCCCACACTGGAAAAGGCATCCTGGAGTTTGCTGAAGGATCTGAAACGCATCACAGATAGTCAAGTTAAAGGTAGATGCACGGATGGTACATGAGAGAGACTCCAGAATCTCTCAGGGAAGTGATTGCTGCTGGTGATGCCTGGTCTGGAGGTCAGGTTCTGGGCTTTGGAGCCAGACTGCTTAGGTTCAAATTCTGGCTCTGCCACTTCCTAGCTGTGTGGCCTTGAGCGAGGGATTTTGCAGCTTCATCACCTCTAAAATGGAGGCCATAACAGTGCCCTCACCCCATTTGTTGTTTAGCCATTATGTTAAGTGGCCATTCAGTTTCATTGTCCTTCCCTGAGAAAGCCCAAAAGCGGAATGCATACAGAGCCAAACTTCCTGTACCTCACACTTGGAAGGGGGAGAGGGGACCACTTTGTTTCATCCTGCTTCTCCCCAGGTGAACTCTTTGTTAAAGAGCTGTTCTGGATGTTGCACCTGCAAAAGGATACCTTTGCCAGATATGCTGCTCAGTTCCAAAAAGAGGGTGAGGGAAGATGGGAGTCCCAGACCCCAGCCCCCTCCTTCCACAGCCCTTGCTTCTCAAGTCCAGTCCCTCAGCTCTCCCAACCCCCTCGTCCCTCAGACCCAGGGTCCAGGCCCCCATGTCCTTCCTCCCTCAAAGCCAGGAGTTCCAGCCCCAGCCTCTTCCTTTGACCCCTCCTTCATCCCTCCTAACTTAAAAATCTGATCCTCATTTTTTTCTTTCTGCCGAGGCAGATTTTTGTCCCAACAAATGTGGTGAGTTCGGATTATGGGAGCTGGTCCTCTCTCTCTTATCCTTGTCCCGTGAATACCCAGCCTTTCTACTCCCCCTTTTGGGTCTCGATGTTTCTTCATTCTCCTCATCTGAGAGGTTCCTAGGTCTCCAGTATTCCTTCTGCACCAAAACCTTCTTTGCGGAGCGCAGCTCATTCGGTTTGCACTGGTTAGATTCCGCTTCCTACAGGGCTGTGCTCTGGGCCCGCCCCGCCCTTGGCTCTGCCCTCTCCTTTTAACCCCGCCTGCTAGTGGGCGAATACCTCCTTGACCCTGCCCCTTCAGGTATGATGTTGCAGACTCTGATCTGGTGCAGTAACTGCAAGAAGCAGGTTCACGCTTGTCGGAAGTCCTTGGATTGCGGGGGTGAGAAAGCTGGGTCCAGGAGGGGTTGGCGTAAGAGGGGCGGAGCCAGAGGAGTGACTGAGTCTAGAGAGGGCGGAGACTAGAGCCAGCCAATAAGAAAAGGAGGGGCCAACCTAGTGGAAAGGGGTTGAGGGAGGGCCAAGAACCGTTAAGGAGCTTCTTACAGTAACCACCTATCCCCAGAGCGCAAAGTCAATGTCCATGAAATGGAAGACATGATCCTGGACTGTGAGCTCAACTGGCATCATGCCTCTCAAGGCCTGACCGATTACAGCTTTTACAGGGTGGGGCCCTCCAACTCCTGTAACCCTTAAATTTTAAGTCCATTCAGGCCTGTGTGAATCCTGTATCCACAGGCCTGCACCCACAATCCCCATGACCCATGACCTACCAGATTTGGCTCCCACAGACCCTGGTGACCCCATGCCCTGAACAGTACACTCAGGACTCGCATCTCCCCCATTGAGGCCCCGTGATCTTCTTACCCTTGTACTCCCCCAACCCCTAAATTCCCCAGGCCTCTGTGACCCCTTGAGCTTGGGTCTAGGTTTGGAGGAACAAGTCTGAGACCTTGGTGTCCAAGGGGAAAGAGCCCACCCTGACCAAGATCATGGTAGACCCACTGGATGCGGGCACCTATCGCTGCCAGCTGGACACCGTGCAATCCAGCCCGGCCACGGTCATTCGTTTTCATGTCACAGGTCAGTGCTGGGGAGTTGAAAAAAGTATGGAATTCAGGGTCCTGGGGTTGCGAGCAGTCTGCTTCAGGGGCGTGGCCTATGGGGACATAACTTCCTGTCGGGTGTGGTTTCAGGCCACGAGGGTGGTGCTTCCTGACCTGGGTGTGGCCTCTGGCCACAGCTGCAGGGTTCTCTTCCGGGTTTGTTCCGGCTATATGCAATTGGAGGCTTGTGATTATCTCCTGCAAGACTTGGGTCCTGGGGCAAATTGGTGCCGGGAGGGTTTGCCTTGGCCTTGGCGGATCTTCATGCCTTTCCAGGACTGTTCTTCCCTCCTTCTCTATCAGTGTTGCCCAAAAGAATCGTGGAAGAGATACCGTCATCAAACATCCCAACCCAGGAAGAGGTGGCCCCCGGTGAGGTGACTTGGAGTCCCACCAAGCCATCTACAACCCTCCAGTCTCCATCATCACAGTCTCAAATGGCAGAGAATATACTGAGAGGCCGCCTGGTCGGGCTGCTGATCTGGAGCTTTGTGGTGCTGATAGCCGGCATTGCCACCGCGTGAGCTGCCCGCTGAAGAAGGCAGAGCTTGGAGTGAGGGGCGGGCTTCCAAATCAAAGGGGTGTCTGGAAGCTTCGGAACCCTGAGAGCTGGATTTCTATTGGGGATAGGGCTTAAAAAACAGGGTAGGGATTACCTAGGAGGGTGAAGTTTGGATAATTGATAGAATAAGATCAAATATAGGGAGGCTGGGACCTGATCTGATTTTGCTATTTGCACCCTATCCTCCCCCAGGGTACTTTGCTATCGGTCTGAGAAAGTCATGGACTTCATAAAATCCTGGTTGGGCACTGGCAGTGAAGCTGCTCAGAGCTCCCATGTTCCAGAAAAAAAGGCCACAGAATCAACGACCCAATAAAAATTTATTTGGTTGTCTAAGTATCTGACTCATTCCTCCAGATTGATCCTAACTTTTGGTTCTCCCAAGAGGAGAGGACTGGGGATGGTCTCTTGTCTGAGGGAGGACGGGCTGAGAATTGGGCCCCCTGGGTCATGGCAGGGACCAACTGACTGAGAGGCAATTCCAGAATCAAGGAGTGGGGCAGGGCCAGCCCTACCCAGATCTCCTCCCCCAGGCCCAGCTCCCCTCACAGGACGCCCCCTCCCCGCTCTTCCTGCCGGGTTTCCTCTCGCCTTTTCCTGTCCCCCACCCAGTGCTGGGAGCTGGGGCAGAGGAAAGGCTGAACAGGAGCAGTGGGGTCAGGAACCAACCCAGGCCAACGGAGCCAGGGCCCCCAGGTGCTGCTGGGACCCAAAGCAGGGTAAGAGCCAGGGGACCCAGGAGTCCAGACCCCTCCTTCCTCAGACCCAGGAGTCAGTCCCCAGCCACCTCCCATCCCAGTATCCAGGAGTCCAGGCTCCCATCCCTCCCTTCTACCCAGCTGCCTCCTCCTTCCGACTCGAGTCCAGGCCCCCCTCCAGCCCATCCCCACCACTCAGAGCCTCAGGAGTTGGGGCTTTATCCACCCTCCCTTAGGGCCATGCTATCTGGTGAACGGAAGGAGGGCGGAAGCCCCCGCTTTGGGAAGCTCCATCTCCCGGTGGGCCTGTGGATCAATTCTCCCAGGAAGCAGCTGGCCAAGCTGGGGCGGCGCTGGCCTAGCGCTGCCTCTGTCAAGTGAGTGCCCACCTCCTCTCGACTCTCCTGTCCCTGCCCCACCTGCCTCCCATCTGTTCCTGTTTATAACCCAATTACTGCACTGGGTAATGCCAGGGACCTCTGAATGGGCAAGTGAACTGGCAGCTGGGAGGACACAGTGGGCCACACAGATATAGAGCCAGGTAGGGGAAGTGCTGGGCCTGGAGATGGGCTTAGGCCCATGAACACGGGAATGGGGACCCAGAAGTAGCAGAAGTTTGATTCACCTTCCTTCCTCCCCTCCCTGCTCATTTCTTGGAATTTCCTTCTGTGGGATTTGCCTTTATTTATTCGTTTATTTAATTAATTATTTTATCTCTCCTTGCCTCTGCCCACCCCCACTTCTCCGTACACCCCGCATTTCTCATCCTTCTGTGGGTCTCTATCTCCCCTCTCAATGGGTCTCTATCCCTCGTCTCCGGGTCTCTGTTTTCCCCTTCCCCATGTGGGTCTTTGCCCACCTCCCTCCTTCTCTAACCCCCTCCCCCGCCTGTGCATCTCTTTCTGGGTCTCTCCCACGTCTCCAATCTCCGGCGGGCTCCCAGGTCTTCGTCTTCAGACACGGGGAGCCGCAGCAGCGAGCCGTTGCCCCCGCCGCCGCCGCACGTGGAGCTGCGACGAGTGGGCGCAGTCAAGGCGGCCGGCGGAGCCTCGGGGAGCCGCGCCAAACGCATTTCCCAGCTCTTTCGGGGCTCGGGAACCGGGGCCACGGGATCTGGCGGCGCGGGAGGCCCTGGGACTACGGGGGCCGCGCAGCGCTGGGCCAGCGAGAAGAAGTTGCCTGATCTGGCGGCGGGCGTGGCCCCCGAACTCCCACTAGCCGCCCGCGCCACGGCGCCCCCAGGGGTCCTCAAGATCTTCGGCGCGGGGCTGGCGTCGGGCGCCAACTACAAGAGCGTGCTGGCCACAGCTCGCTCCACTGCGCGAGAGCTAGTGGCCGAGGCGCTGGAGCGCTATGGGCTAGCCGGGAGTCCCGGCAGCGGCCCAGGCGAGAGCTGTTGCGTGGACGCCTTTGCGCTGTGCGACGCGCTGGGCCGGCCAGCTACAGGCAGCATAGGCAATGGCGAGTGGCGGGCGGAGCACCTGCGCGTGCTGGGCGACTCTGAGCGCCCACTGCTGGTGCAGGAGCTGTGGCGGGCGCGGCCTGGCTGGGCGCGGCGTTTCGAGCTGCGCGGCCGCGAAGAAGCGCGCCGCCTGGAGCAGGAGGCCTTCGGAGCTTCGGACAGCGAAGGTGAGCCCGCTGGTCGGACTCTGTGGGCGGGGCCTGAGGGACGGGGCGGGGCCTTCCATTGGGCGGGGCCAGAGGGAGGGAAGAGCCGGGGTTTGGGGGCGGAGCCAGGGAGAGGCGGAGCCTGCGGGGCTGGAGTGAGAAGGCGGGCTGGAGGCGGAGTCCGCGGGAGGGGGACTGGGCGGGACCTATAGCACTGGATCAAGTGGGGGGCGGAGCTAGGACTGGACCAGGGTCTACCAGATGGGCTAGGCCAGAGGACCATGCCTTTGGATTACATGAACCGATGGGCAGGTCCTATGATGCTGGGGCAGGGCCTACAGAATAGAGTAACCTGGAGCAAGAAGTGTTTGGCGGGGCGGCTGGGAGTTTCTGTGGCACAAGCCCTCTCAGAGCCGTAAGTTGAAGTGGTTCGTGAGGTTCAGACTTAATTGGATGAAGACTAGAAGGGGAAGGACCTGGAAAGCTAAGAAATGGGCTGGTAGATTAAAGCCCATGAAAGGGTGGAGCCTCAGAGGGGCTGGTCCTGGAGTGGGTGGGCCTAAGCTGAGTTGGTTGCGAAGTTTGAGTAGGGGGGCTTGAGGGTGGCACCTGGGAAACGAAGAGGTATTTGCAGAGGCCAGAGAAAGTTATGCTTACCTGTTGGCCTGGTCTTTGAGAAGACCGACCTGGAATAGAAGGTGGCGCTATTGGTGAAATAGCAAGTCTGGCAGGGATGGTGTCTGGCTCACAGGGCTAGGGGCTGCTCAGGGAGCCCTGTAACCGTTTTTCTGTTTCTGAGTTTCCCTTTGGGAGATAGAGTGGTGTGGCTTGGAACTCAGGCTGGGAGTCCAATCCGTTCTTAGCCAGTTAAACTCCACAAAATCCTAGGTGAAAATTCAATGAGATAATGTTTATAAAGAGTTTTAGCACAATGCTTCGCACATAGCAGCTGCTTAATAAAGAATGGCAATTATAACCATCATTGTCTTTTTTTTTTTTTTTCTTCAGGAAGCATTCATTGGCTCCTACTCTGGGCCACACATTATTTAGGGTCATAGGAGGAATACAGTGGGGACACTGACAGGTGAAATTTCCTCCCTCCTAGATTTCACAGTCTAGTGAGAAACACATCAGTTCACTTTGTCCGCTTATTTCCACTAGGCACCTACCATGTGCCAGGGCTTTGCTGAGCCCAGACAAAGCCCAGAGTTCCCAGGGATGCCTTTCTCTGCTTCAACTTGGATTATCAGGGAAGGGTATTCAGGAGGTGGTTTCTGTTTCCCTGAGGGCAGGGTCTTTGTTCACTGAGAATACCCTAGCGCCTAGAACATTGCCCAGCACATAGTAGGTGCTCGAAAAATACTAATTGAAAGAATGAATGAATGATTTCTGAGCTGAAAAACGCCAAGATGGGTAGGAGTCAGGTGGAAAGTGTGTTCCAGGCATAGGAAACAGTATGTGTGAAAACCTAAATGTGAGAAGCAGCCCATCTCTTTGTAACCAATTCTTTGTCTCTTGATAACCTTCAGCTCTCTGAGTCTGTCTCTCCCTGTGTCTCTTTCCAGTCTCGACCTCATCGCTTTCCATCTCTCTCGTTGCAGGCACAGGACCTGCCTTGTGGCGGCCACAGAAGAACCGTTCCCGGGCAGCATCCGGTGGGGCGGCGCTGGCCAGCCCTGGCCCGGGGTTGGGGTCAGGGACCCCGGCTGGGTCGACAGGCAAGGAGCGCTCGGAAAACCTGTCCCTGCGGCGCAGTGTGTCAGAGCTCAGCCTGCAGGGTCGGCGGCGGAGGCAGCAGGAACGCAGGCAGCAGGCACTTAGCATGGCCCCAGGGGCAGCGGATGCCCAAATTGGACCTGCAGACCCTGGTGATTTCGATCAGTTGACCCAGTGCCTCATCCAGGCCCCCAGCAACCGTCCCTACTTTCTGCTGCTCCAGGGCTACCAGGATGCCCAGGTAAGCGCAGCCTCTCCTAACCGGAGAATCCTATGCCCCATCCTTCAGTTAAAGGGCGACAGAACTACAACTCCCAGAATTCCGTGGGTTGTGGTAGTCTCAGGTACCATGAAAGATATGGAGCAAGGTTGGAGATATCATTGTCAGAGAGGAGAGTAGGGGTGGTGGAAGATAGATGACTGAGAAAGATTCCACTGGCAGGACAAGTAGGGGATGGTTCTTTTCATTCAAAGTTGGAGGAACTGATTTTCTCAAGAGAGAATGGGGCAGCCTGTTGTAGAAAGAAGATCTCCTTTAAAAGAGTCTATTTCTTGAGGGGGAGTAATGGAAGAGTCTATCTTCTGGGGGAGGGAGATAATTTTATTGACGCCTGGGATCTTCCGGATAAGCCTATATTTTCTGCGGAGGAGTGGACCAATCCATTTTTTAAAGGTGATGGTTTACACTGAAACTATTTGACCATTGTAGATGGGGGTAGGTGGTACTGGTACTTCTGTTTTACATATTTGAGTGGCAATAGAACTTGTTTGAGTGTTAGGCAGCAGAGAAGGAGAAAGGATTAACAGGTGGGGGTCAGTGGGAAATTATTTCAATCATAGAAATGTAATGTGTGATGATTATTAGAACCATCTTTATGGTATTGTCCACTTTTGTGGTACAGCCAAACTCAACAGGTACTGTTGGGATCAATGGGAAAGCCCACTCTAGAAGGTGGTAGAGCTTACTAAACACTCCCATTTTTTTTTTTAAAGATTTTATTGGGGAATTGGGGGAGGGGAATAGTGTTGGGGAATTGGGGAAGGGGACCAACCAAGTTGTTATTCTTCAATCTTCGTTGTGGAGGGGGCCAGTCCATCTGGCTGCCCATCGGTAGCTTGTGGCCTCTAAGCTCAAGGTGCTGTGTTCAATCTTAGTTGCGGGTGGGCATAGCCACCATCCCATGTGGGAGTCAAACCAGCAGCCTTGTTGGTAGGAGCACACGCTCTATTCACAGAGCCATCAGGGCAGCAGCTCAACTCAAGGTGCCGAGTTCAGTCTTAGTTGTGGGTGGGCAAAGCCCACCATCGAACAGGCAATCTTGTTGTTACACCAGCTGAGCCATCCTGCCACCTGTTGGCAGCTCAGCGACAGCTCAGCTCAGGCACAGTGTCACTGGCCCATGTGGGAATCCAAACGGCAGCCCTGTTGCTCAGAGCCCACACTCTTAAGCCAACTCTTAACCAACTGAACCACTTGGCCTGCCCTACACATTC